AACTGCGACGACGAATGCGGAATTCCGGGATACATCGTATAAGGCATCTTACAACGGGAGGTTGAAGTTGCGCGCACGGCGAGAGAGACTTGATAAAATTAAATAACTTTTTGCGCGGCATTTCGAAATTGCTTTTGATGACATTGGGAGTTTTGTGCAGAATCCGAGAACACCGCAATATTATCACGGAGAGAGGAATTTTAAACTTTCATTCGAGAGTGATTATGTAGGTGTACGATTTCTCGAGCGCGTATATTCTTAATGTTGATCCAAGAGATTTTGCATTTTCGCGTAATAAATTAAATGGAAAAAACGGAAATTACTCGAGTATATAAGCAGGCAAAAAATGATTAACTTTGACTGAACAAATATTTCGTAGTTACAAATAGGATTTCTGATCCTTGAGAACGAATTCAGTTAAATAAATTGTGTTCGAGTGCAAAAAAATTAGTAGGTTCACATGAAGTAAATAAGTCGATTTAAATTATTTTATCTCTTAAATTCAAAGTGTTAAGAGCTACAAAAATGTTTTCAGTTCATCGTTGATTTACCGTAATAACGACCGTAACACGCAGTGCCTGTAATAGTCGTTGTCCATCCAGGTGAAGTGCGTGTCCCTGACAATCACAGCGGTGCTTGCGCGAGAGGCCACTGACACCGACGCGTATCCAGCTTCGCCATCTGAATTCCGCATCTTCGTGCGCGATACGCGGCTGGAAAAAAACCTACGAGTGACCCCTCCATGCATATATAATAAATTACCCCTGATGCCAAACGCGAATATAGATGTTTCACATCAAAAAAAAAAAAAAAAAAAAAAAAAAAAAAAAAANAAAAAAAAAAAAAAAAAAAAAAAATACGCGACGGTATAACTCGGCCGAAGAAATTTGATATGGTTAAAAAGCAAAAGGGGAAAGGCACGTGGGTGGACACGTGCTGCTGGCCGGGGCTCTAGGGGGGCGCACATGAGGCAAACGGAGAGAATCCGATCACCGAGGTGCTTTTCGCGCAAGAAAAAACACTCGAGCCGTAGTACATACGCAAGACATCGTAGGTATATATATACGTAGCGGAGCGCGTGTTGGCGCGTGCAGTCTTAAAAATATCCCCTCGCGTGCGATAGAGAATGAGAGAGAGAGAAAAAAGTCGATGTAGCGCGAACGAGCCGTGTACGAGCTGAAAAAACTCCGTGTCTATCCCCGTACACGCGACCGTGTAGTAGTTGGGATCCATTTACTATAGACCTTGAGTAGAGCTCTATCGCAGGCATACGGCGAGGGTATAAAAGTAGCCCCGCTCTCCTATACAGGTGTATAGATCACGCGATGATCAAAGTCGTGCCTTTGATGGTCAATGCTTCATGCTCGGACGAGTTTTCAACTCTCTCTGTATACAGTCTATATAATATTCCTCGTGCGGCGCACGTCTCGCGCGCAATATCGTACATAAGATATTCCAGCCCACGCGTCGTTGACGCAGCGGCAGTTTTTGTTGATTCTAAAAATCAAGCTAGACTTTTCTACGAGTCTGCGAGCCATTTACTGGGAATAAAAAGAAAATCGAGCGCGGCACACTCGTTACGTTAATTATGTTGACTCGTTATGAAGGGGCACAAAAATTTACGTCGACTTTTATCGCCGCTCGAGTCGTGATTTCGAAAAATTCGAGAAAAAGTTCGTGAAATAGTTATTTTTCTTTCGACTCCCCCACGCAGTCGCGGTTGATCATTATAACGACGATCGGCGATTGTGTCCGACTCTCTCGATGCGAAAGAAGCGATCGACGTTTTAGGGCAGAAACACGTCGATCCATCGCAATATCCTCCGGAGAGACGAATCGCATCGAATCTTTTGCCGGAAATTGATACAACGATTGCCCGTGAGCAGTACGGTGTATCGGGTGAATTGGGAACATCGCGCGCGCACTCGAGTTTCGAAGTCTCGGCGTCTCGATCGATAATCGCTCTCTGCTGCAGCGGTGAGTGCCTCTGCGCAAAGTAGCGCCAACTGCGTTTTTCTTATCCATGCGTTACACCAGTTCGTTCACTTTTATCGCGGGTACGGCGCGCAAATTTCGCTTCTTCTCCGAGACCGCAATTTCGGAGCGCGAGGCTATACAAATTGGCTGGCGGCACCTAATTAAATCGCTGAAATTATTTGGGTCAAGGTGATAGAGCTTCAGGCATACGTTACATTATTACACGAAGCACAACGCGCGAGCGAGCAAAAAAACTGCCCCGTAATACAATGAAACACTTTTTTTTCTCACCCGGCAGCGCGCGCGTGATATTCCTCGCCGCGAGTCTCGCTCCTTTTTATATAGAAATACGAGGTGAGCTTTTTTTCCTCCTGTTCTCTCTCTCTCTCTCTCTCTCTTCTTTCTCTTCCGCAGCTCGAGCGAGCTTGCGACGCGTATCCTATTTTAATATACGTAATAGTACTGGTATGTATACGCTATACGGCCAAGTAAGGAAAACTGACGTATGCCTGCTGCTATGTGTGTGTGTGTGTGTGTGTGTGTACTGGCGAGCCAACAGCAAGAAGAAGAATCGATTTATTCTATTATTATTCCTGAGTTGGAAATAATCTCTCTCGCTCTTTTTTTTTCTATTGCGTTTGGCGTCGCGCGAGCTTCTCCACTCGCGATTCGTTTTCACTACTTTTCTGCGTGTACATAACGCAATATGATAATAGTGCCATGATAGGTGAGTGTGTGTAGAGAAGTCATCCACGCATTTTTCTCGAATGGATATTGCATATACGTCGGAGCCCCACGCAGATGTTCTACGCATGATTTATAATAGATATTACACTTTAGTGTATTGCGTGTGTATACGCGCACTTTGTCTTGTAGGCTGTTTTCTCCGGCTCTCTAGGAGGACTTTTTTCGACTTTTTGAAAACTCTTACATATGCGAGATTAGATCTGCCGAAAAACCCTTATAGACATATTTTAAGTTTGCCACTTGCAGATTTACGGATAAAAGGTACTCGCCATCTGGCGGTGACTTTACTATGTGAGATTTACTGGCGCAAGGGAAGAACGCATACAAACAATTTCATTTTAACAATCAAATTTTTACGCTTGACTTATACGATTATTTTGACTTTACTACTTGCAGATTTACAAAGAAAGGTATACTCGCCATCTAGTGGTAGAAGTCGGCTTTAATCGTGCGCTATTAAACGCGTAGGAAATAAAGAAGTGATTTATTATTTTTTTCAAAACCGCACTTGGACATGGTGCGCATCTAATTGAATATTTTATCAATGGTAATTACGGGGAACCTCTTATTGTTACCGATTATAACTATTTAACCGTTGAGCATGTATAAAATTAGTAAACTTATATGACGATTTTTTTTTACTTTGCTGCTTGCAGATTTGCAGATGAAGGTGCTCACCACCTGGCTGCGAAAACTGACTTTAATTATGATTCAATTTTCATACATCTTCATTATCAATAAAGCCAAAAAAAGAAATCAGCACCAAAACTTCTCATTTTCAATCAAATTGTTCTAAATTGAATTATAGAATGACTTTTTTCTACGCACTTCTGCAACTAAAACAATGCATGTAATTTTGCATTAATCCTACTCAAGCGAAACTCTTCACGTGCGATTTTTTGTCGTACGCCACGTGACGCGTGTCAATTTTTCACAACCTTCGAACTTATTGTTTATCTCCCAAAATTGGCGAGAATCGACGCAGTCATCGTCGTCGTCGTCGTCGCGTACTACTCCGCACGAGCACACCCACGCGATTACAAGACGCTATACAACTCCTTTTCTTTGATTCATCCCTTTGTTGTTCTTTTTTCGACCGTTAATCCGTCTTTTCTCTCTATCTCTGCTCCTCGAGACTCTTCTTCACGCATCGACGAAGTTGAATAATACAAAATACAGTGTGACGCGCGAGGAAATTGGCACGCGAGGACGTTATGGTAATGAAAGTACATCTCTTCTATTATTGTACACGCATATATATACCGCGGAGAGGAGAGAGGGAGGGATGCGCCTGTGCTCGACCATCGACATTAATACCGCCGCGTATAACTGCCTCATCACTTGCCACGAACGCCGCAGTGGCACGCGCAAATTAACGCCGCAGCAAACCACGAGGAATTGCGAGCTTGTAAATTATATACCCGTGTAAAACTTGGCATTCGTGAGATGCGAATTCGACCGCGTGGATGCGAAAAATGTCTCCCAAGCTGAGAACGCGTGTGACGAATTCTTCAGAACAAAAATAAGCAAAGCTCGGCTGCCCATATGTGATACAATTCGATCGAGAGTGCGGGGATCCCAACGATATTCAAAGAGCAGGAGAATATTTCTTGTTTTTCGCGCGCTTCGTGGTGCAGTCGAACAGCTGCGTGGGTGGATTTTACGCATACGTACTACACACGATTATGTGTGAAAGCGTAGGACGCTGAATTACGCGCTTTCCTCTCGTGGCGATCAGAAATAGTTCGAAAGCCTCGACAGATCCATTTCACATTGTAGCCGGTCATTTTATATTGGTATTGTGATAATTATTCGTTAATTGCAGATATTTTTGATGTACGTTGGTATAGGAATATTCAAGTAAGGCGTACCTCATATAGAGACCTTTACTTTTAATGCGAGTATTAAAAGTAACGAGATGGTACTAGAACTATTTTGTTCGAGACAGGTAATAGTTCATAAATTACCGCTAGATAGCGCATTACCGAATTCTCAAAAGCCAAAAGAATAAGGAAAAAGTTCTAGCATTAAGTAAAAGCGATATTTAATCGAAAATTTAGTAATGATCGCTTAGATCTATTAAATCTATTCTAAGTAATCGGATGTATATTCGATGGCGAGAGTAAAATTCAAGATCTACTGGAAATCGCATCTAGTTTTAATTTCCGAAAAAAGCTCTCGGAATTTCACTTTCAGTCTTATGCACACCCGCGTCTCTGCTCGATACAACATGTTCCATTACTATACGGCCTCTCTCTTGTTTCGTTTCGTTTCAGAGAGAGAGAGAGAGAGAGAGAGAGAGAGAGAGAGAGAGAGAACAAAGGAGTAAAATTAAACCATGTTTACCAACGAGGCGAGATGGAAGCACATGAGCGCGACTCTGTTGCTGCTGCTTTGCTGCACGGTCCGAGCCGAGAACTCGGCGGCGCAACAAGCTCAAAAGGACGCGACGGCGGCGGCGGCGGCGGCTGCTGCTGCAGCCAACTCCGACGACGACAAAACGAACGAGATTGGCTTCTTCAGGGACGAGCTCGATAAATATTATCAGGTACAATTTATTGCTATCGCTAATGGATTAAATTTAAAACACACATTGTGTACATAATAAATCTGACTTTTCTTTCGATCGAATAAACTCGCGCGTATATACCTCAGCTATAAAAGATTAAAGTCTCTCGTCGCAGAAGCGAAAAAAATAATGAACAAAAATTTGCCCGGTTCATTTTCTCGCGATCGCAATTTCCGTCGCTTTGTATAACGCGTAATTGTCCTTGATGTATATAGCGCCAAGAGAACCCGGCAACGTCGAGGCGTCTCGGCTACTACGATCCAGCCTCGGTGCTCGTGAGACGTCTGCTCGCCGACGAGATGATGGCCAAAAAAGCTCAGCTGCTGCGCAGCTTTCAGCAGCAACACTCGAGCCGAGGAACGAAGAAAAATGATTACGACGAGGACGCGCCGCCCGCCGACTACTATTACACCGTCGGCGGCGGCGGTGGCGGAGATCTGCCCGCTGAATTCCGAAACGTCGACGAGGTGCTGGACGATCTGGCGAAACAGCGATTATTGAAGATGGCCTACTCGTCGTCGGGCCAGCCGAGAGGTGGCAAAAAGCCACTCGGTTACGGCCAACTGATCGGCGGCGGTAGCAGCGACGACGATCTCTTGTTCAACGCCTTGGACAGCAACAGCGTGAGCAGGAACAGCAACAACAACGACGAGGACGAGTACCAGCAGAAACGGGCTTACGCGCAGGGCTTCCACAGCGTGAGAGGCCGCCGAAGCGGGCCGAGCTCCTACTACGCCAACGGCAACCTGTTGGATCAGCTCGACGAGTTCGAGAAGCGCGCCCTGCTGTCGGGCTTTCAAGTGAGTATATATTATATATACTATGCATCATGTCATCGCAACGAGAGAGGAGCTTTTTTTTTGCTAACGGAGCTTTTACGTATAATAACAGAGCATGAGAGGCAAGAAGGACCTGGTGCTGGAGGATCTGCCGCTGGAGCTGGGCCGTTATGTGGCGGCCAAGCGTCGCATGCTGGGCTTTCACGGGATGCGAGGCAAACGAAGCCTCGCCCCCAATCGTAAGTGTATATATCGTTATATCGTTATTATCATTATTACGATGCCTCGGCCCTCTTATACCTTAGTTGTGTATATTATCGAGTAGCCGTGTAACGAGACGCCCTGCGGCAATTCGTTTATCGCGACCCCCGTTTTTATTGAGATCCGGATGCGTAAATAAGTACATGAGTCGTGAATACACGATTGATGCACGGGTGGAGCAAGATTTTTTTTCTTCGGGTAGTAAAATTATGAAATTTCGCGTGCAAGCTTTGGACCTGCAAGATCTAGTATAGTATTGAAAAGCTACGATGCGACTGTACATTGACATATACAATTAATTTCACTTCGCCACTTGCAGATTTACAATTAAAGGTACTAGCCATCTAGCGGCGAATGTCAGCTTTACTGATAATTGAATTTTCGAGATTCGCTGGGCACTTAACGCCAATAAGCAATCAGTATTGTGGCATCAATTTTTAATCAAAATGTTTCAATTTGAGGGTAGACTTTATACTCTTTTGTATTTATTTTTGCTTTACAATTAATTCATGCGATTGCACTTCCGTGCTTTTTTGTGCAGTTAACGTAGTCAATTAAATCAGTACTTATACATCAATTTTCATTGAAGATTTCATGTAAAATTTGACTTCATATAAAATTCAGCTTCGAGTACTTTTATTTTAATGTCTAATTTCACGTTAAATCCGCTTTCGATTTAACAATTTTTTTCAACAGAATTGTGAAAATTGTTCGTGAGTTCAAAGTAAATTTAATGGACATTCGCATCAGACTATTCAATCATTCATACCGTTAATGTACTGGAATTGTGCTACTAAAAATGAATATTCTGTATATTTATTTGATAAATTTATGGGTTAATAAATAAAAACTTTAACATTTCGCTGTCATTTTATAAGATTTAATTGCTACATTCGCATTAAAAGAAACGTATTATACTTGAAAACTAAAAAATTTAAATTTATTTAAAATTAAGGCTGGTGCGTTTAATAATCCACGTATTTTAAATTTTTTTCGGGAACGCAGTAGTTTTTAAGTTACCGCTAGATGGAGTTTGGCCGCATTTTTGCTATACCTAAAAGAGAAAAGACATTATCTAAAAGCAATTTTTCTAAACGTCTATAAATTCTATCGTCCATAAACATCGCCTATTAATGTTATATTCTCTTCGCGCGAGCGACCAATTGGCCCGGGCTTCGTTTTCTAATTACGCGTACGGCGACATTATGATAATGGCGTATTGCGAATGCAGCAATTCGGTCGTACATATTGGCCGCGCGTCGACGCGAATTCATAAACCGTTTCGTACCCGCGCGTGTTCCACATCGAAATAATAAAAGCTCGCTATAGGCGTGTTTGCGAGCGCGGGAGAGGGGGGCAAAAGTTCAGTAGCTTTGTCATTATACATTTATGGGGCGCAATAAAAATCTACGAGGCATTTGTTGCTGCGTCGTACAATATGGACGTGATAAGCCTCGATGACCTTTAATATAGTGCCTATAAGCAATAATCGGCGAGCGAAATCTTGGCGCGCGATATTAAAGAACTTCGACTTGATACGTGCGGCGATCAATGATAACACGTGCGGCAGCAGCCACACAATAGCCGCGTACGTATAAAAAAGAGCTCGGGCAGAATCACGTATTATAATGGCCTCGTATATCTATTGTCCATTTATATTCTCCGGCTTACGGGGTTGGGCTCTCAGTAGCCACATAGATAAGAGGACAAGACAAAAACAAAAGAGAGAGAGAAAAGCTCGAGCGAATTCGTTGTCTCTCGCAGTCTTGTGTAATATATATATTCGGAGTAGCTAAAAATTGATGTAACGCGTGGTACGAGCTCGCCGTCGGCGGCTGTAACGTAAGTTCGTTTCGCTCCGACACTGGTGTGCACGCATTTTGCGGCCCTCTATCCTGATGCATAAGATCACGCTCTTTCTCTCTATCGTTCTCGACGTGAATGTCGCGGCTAACGAATTCACAAAAGCTTTTGTCGCGACAACGACCAAAAGAAACGGCTAAAAACTCGAATTATACGCAGAGCGAGTTCAAAGCGAAATAGTTAGTTAGTTAGCGTCGAACTTTGGCGCGAGAATCTCTCCGCGCCTTTTGTGCTCTGTTGTTCGCGCGTTGTACATTCCTCGGCGAAGCTCAAGAGAGAGAGAGAGAGACAATATTATAAAAATAATAATGTGGACGAGAAGGAGAGATAAGCTGAACAGTTTGGGCAAGTGTTTTCTCGCCTATAGATGAATACGTAATTTCACCATGGCCATGCGGCGAAATATCAGATTGTTTTATTTCTAATCTTCGTCACTTTGCATGGGATTTTCATGAAAATTAGCGCTGAGCCATCCATCGATCTGTCGTGGTACTATGCGCCGCTCGCGTATTGGACTTAGTTACATTTATGTAACAAAAGCCCGAATCCTTCTCATGGTAAATGAAAAAATCCTGTTTTGGAATTTTTGTAGTTTTTATCTTGCACGGACTTGAACGACATAAATACCAAGGAAAAAGGGGTTAAATTTGTCTAAGAAATGCACGTGAAAGTGCATGAAAGTAAATTGCTTGCAGTGTTTTTAGCCCAGTAAAATTCAAATGAAAAATGAATGGATTCAAGGTGATATCATAAAATTGCACGAAAATCAAAATCATCATTAAAAATAAAGCATCAAAATGCACGCCTGACGCAACAAGGAAAAAATTAACGTCCTCCAAAGTACATCGTATCGAGGATTTTCCGAAGGCACGCAGTCAATCGTCGCAAGTCGATCGTAACGAGAATAACGACGCTTTCAATTCGATTAGATATGCGCGAAAAAAAAGATTTACAAAAATATATTCTCTACACAGAGGCGTGCGACGGCACACAATACACACTCGATATATATTCGTTTCGTCCGCGCGTCTGGACTCTGTATATCTCTATCCAGTCTCTCGCTCGCGCGCTCAGCCTGGCGCCAGAGGGTCGCCTCGACGATTATATTATTCTTTGCCTTTCTTCGTCGCGGATATATGCACTCTTACTGGATCTGTTTCTCTTTTCTTTTCTTCTTTTTTTTTTTTTTTGCTCTTTTGCGCATCGTCACGCGATCTCTACTCTGGGCCGCGCTGCTAATTCTCGACCGCGTGATTTGTGCGATTTGTTCGTGCGATGCGTCGTCGACGACGAGGCAAATTATATCAAACTTTCGTACTCTTTCCGTTGGATATAACGCCATTTCCGGGGGGCCCCCGCCCGAAATTCGCCCCGTTACTTTTTTGTTCTCGCGGACGGTGAACTCGACGCGCGATATAATTGAACGAGGTATATATATATCGAATTTTGTGCGCGATCGTTTTAAAGACCATCGAGCTTGCGCAAGCTCGCGAGCTATTGTAAAGTTGACACCCCCGCGCGCGACAAACTTGTGAGAAAATTGCAGCTATCTAGCTGTGCCGTCGCTTCTTTGTCGCGCAGCATCGTTAGGGCGTGTTTTGTACTTATAGACTGCGACGACTACGAGTCCCTCGATCGTGTCTGCTCCATGCAAATTAGCGACTTTTGTCGCGTCGCAACTTCTTCCGATGTATACTCTATGACAATAATGATACCATGCATCTGACACTTTTTTACTTTCAGATTTAAAAAAGTAATCGCGCGGACGACTCGAGGGGGTGTGTGCAGAGAAAAAAAACCCCATCCACCCAGCAGCAGCAGCAGCAGCAGCAACAACAACAGCGACGGAAAAACCACAATCAACCCAGCAGCAGCGTCGTATATATATATAGCTCGAATATAAAATAAATTCACTCCATGGATCCTCTCTTCCACCGATACTCTATATATAATATATAATCATTCGACCAGACTTATGCACGCGTGTTTTTCTCCGCTGACGAATGTGTGTGTGACGCAGATTATTATTATTATTATCACATAGAAAAGAGAGATTATATTTCGGGCATACGAGAGACGTCTTGTGTGTCCGTCTTCTTAAATAAGTGTGAGCTATAGCTGTGAGGTATACATGCGATACGTCTTAAATCCCTTATGGCAGTATCGTCGTATATCTCATTTATCAATGTGTGTAAAATTTCATCCTTTTCTCAATTTCCCTTCCTCTCTCTACACTTCGTTCTATAAAATTTTTTCCAACCAATTTTCATCATTTTCCTTCCGTTCTTCCTATCCTTCGTTTTAATTTTTTTTAATCCTCTTCGTTGTTGCCTATTCTTATATAAAAATCAATATATCCTCGTACTTATAATGTACCTTTCTTGTGAAAAATTCGAGTACAAATTAAACGAAAAAAAAAACGAAAGAAAAAAAGTCCAATATATTATTTTTACAAAAATCATGACAAAGTATTTAATGAAAAATGAATATAAAATGTAAGCTACCCGATACAATTAAATTTTAACGTAAGAAGCGACAGTATAATTAAGTGTTAATGGATATATCAAATTTCATGCTATATATAAATATAGTTGCGTAAGCAAAAAATAAAAATTACAATTACAAGGAGAGAAATAGATAATGATTACCTAAGAAATAAATAATTATATGAACGAGTCAAGTCATATATATTTTTCTCTGATATGAATGTTGAACTATTTGATAATAAAAATTAATCGATTGCAAATTGTTATGATATTATATATCCTTCCGGTAAACAACAAAAAGCTAAAAATGACTGCTTCGAGGACTTTACTTTACTATCGTACACCGTACTAATCCAGATAAGTCAATACGCATACACACGATGGACTGAATAAACATTGAATACGAAACAAAAAAATTAAAACCAAAATTTCATTAAAGTTATATAAAAGATTACACGAACGACTCTTATGATTCCTCGATATGTGATTGTTAATTGTGTATTATTGTTGCGAGCTGACCGTTGGTTGATGGGATGATATTTTGAACGCGGCTGCTGGCAAATGGGATGACAATTTTTGATATTAATAAAACAAAATAATAGCATTGAAAATTTAGCGGATTAAGCGAGAGAGAAAAGCCTAACAAAACAAAAGTAGATATATTATTGATTATTATTGTAATTAAATAATTTTAATGAGATTATCGCGGATTTGCCGCCCCTCTAATTCGGTGGCTCATAATAATTGTTGATCTTTTATTAATTGAAAATTGCAACGATGATCGTGTACGTATATCTGTATAGTTGTAATAATAATATGTGCATTTTCCTCGAAATATCGTGTAATAATGCTAGTGTTTCATCACAATACACAATCTGATCCGTGTCCAAACAAAAAGTAAAAAATGATAATCTTTGCACTGCTACTTATTACGCTCTTATACTGTACTTTTGTCTCTGCGAGCACATGCACACACGAGCACACATGTGTTTACTCTTTTACTCGTATAACGTCACATTTTTTTCTCTCGGTCGACCGTGCCAATTTTTCGCAATATAAAACCAGAGAAGATGTAAGTGATCTTTAGACATTAACTACTCGAGTTATTGTACTTGCGCATTTTTCCAAAAGATAAAAGAGTTTATATATATAAACAGAGCATAGATCGACTAAAAATTCTTTGGTTCGATTGGGTTTTTTGAATTTACATGATAAATAAAAAGTAACTAGTTAGAACGAATATTTGCAGCGAAATGCGGGCATTTTGAGGCGAAGATCGTACACAATGGGTGTCGCAATGAGAGAGTAATTTATTTTGTAAAGCATTTATAAAATTAGGAAAAATGTGAGAACTTCAAGATGTGTATATGGCCGTTTTTTTACTTCGCATAAATGATATATTTTATTGTTGAATTATCATTGACGCAGAGAAATTAATTCCAATTTATTGGTCGAACTGCGCAAGTGGGACGACACGAATCGGAATAATTTTACCATAATTGATTTTTTTCTGGCTATCAGCAGATTTTTAATTTGTAAAGATAAAATCTATGATCAATCCTATGATGTACTACGTATATTTCTCTTCGTTTAAAATAGTGATCTACACAATTTTTGAAAAAATCTTTAATTATATAAGAGATTAGATAAGGAAAGAGGCAAAAAGAAGAAAATGATATATCGAATTCCGAAATGTAAATAAAACAATTAGTCATATAAGCCGATGACTAGACAAGGGAGAAGATGATTTTAGCAGCTACTCGACAAAAAAACGATGTCCCGTTTTCTTTGCGTTTAGGCAGATGCTTGCTGTGCGAATCGAAGGAAGATTGGAGATTAAAAAAAAATTTATTCCTGTTCCTCATATCGGTGTACGCTGTATAAAAAAAAGAAATAAAATAAAAATGATACATGAAAAATCTCTACTTTGTCTCAATGTTGTTTGAAATCTGTGTAACCACACATACACACACACCTTCATCAAGATATACTTGAAATAATCAAGATTACTCAATTGAATTACGAAACAATGTCAAGTTTATTATAACTCTGCTCTTTTTTTTACAGATTTTTTCATTAAAATTTTCCTAGTAAAAAATTTATAAGTGTACACGTATAAACATTAAACTTTTAAAAAATTTCTGAGGCGACAGTCGTATTATTTCGGTGCACGCGACCGTGCACGGTTCGTGCTTTTTCCTTTGCAACGCAGAAAAATAATCGTTTAAATTTAAATCTATATTGCATTTAATAACAAAGCTATTTTTCCTGTACTCTTAATCGTACAGATATAATAATATTACATATAACTAGTTTTGTTAATAATATTTATAACGTTCTTTATTAACAAAAACATTTGTCAACTCAAGTTTCAGAATTATCTATTTAAAATGTAAAGATAATAAAACAATGTAAATGTAAAAGTAATAAAATCATAAATGCTTGTTTAAATAATTAATCAAATGAAATAAGTTCTGCTATCTCTGGTTCTTTCTTTTCTGGCTCTTTACGCGTGTCCGCTGGCTGTTGTAAAGGTTGCTGCTGCATTGGTTGCTGTTGCATCGGCTGCTGCTGCATTGGTTGCTGCTGCTGTAGAGAAGGTTGTTGCTGTTGTTGTTGCATCGGTTGCTGCTGCATCGGTTGCTGCTGCTGTAGAGGAGGTTGTTGTTGCTGTTGATGTTGTGGTTGTTGTTGCATCGGTTGTTGCAGTTGTTGTTGTTGTTGAAGTGACTGTTGCGGTTGGAAAAGTTGCTGCTGTTGAATCGGTTGCGGTTGCTGAACGGGCTGTTGTTTCAATGCTTGTTGCTCGGCGTGCAGCTGTTGCATCATTTGAAGATGCATTGCTTCGGCCTGTGGCTGACCCATTAAATGAGAGGTCATTAGCGAATGTCGCGTCTGAGGTTGAATTCGTTGAGTCATTTCTTCCAACTGTTGCAAAGACGTCATTTTTGAGTGGGTTTGAGCAATTGGTGATTTTTGAGCTCCCTGCATTTGTGGTACAGCTGGAGGAAGTTGAGCTGCTGCTTGCGCGTGCTGTGGTCCGCCTTCCATTCGTCCATTACTAATTTGATGCGAAACTAAAATTTCAAAGTCAACCGATTTTTTTAATAATAATTACATCATTTAATATTAATTAATATCACAAAATGAAAATTGTATAATACCTGGTAAGGACATGGTGGTAGATGGCATACTCATTTGTCCAGGCAATGTCATGTTAAGACTGTTGTGTCCTGCTGGTACCATACCTACATTTTGTGTCGAGGGGTCAATTTGACCAGCCATCATTGTCTGCCCTAAACCACTAGCGATTGAATGTGAGGGATTTTGATGATGAGAGTAAACCGAATTTACTTGCTCTGGAGCTAAGGAATGTCGTTGCTGCTGCTGTGACTGAGGTTGTGATTCAACATCAGGTAAAGTTGAAAGTGACTATAAGATTAGTAATTGGTAAAATAATTGAATGTTTGGATTTTTTTTTCATCAACAGTATACTCACGTTTATCATACCAGGTCCAGATACAGTGACTTTTCCTAAACTTTCTTGGCCAGATAAGGGTAGTCCTTCAGCACCGAGAGTTTGATTATTATAGGCTGCAGGATCAGGCATTGTTTGTTGTGGATGTTGTTTCAACATATATCCTGCTGTAGCATTCATTAGATACGGATCTGTAGGACCAGTGGCAGCCATTGGATACGAATAAATAGGCTGGCCACCAGTTTGAGTGATAGTGCCATAAGTTGGCTCTTGCATCGGATACGGCATCTGTCGTACGGGAGAGCCAGGACCACCAGGCATATCGACATATCCCCCAAGTTGATAACCACCGGACATCATGTACTGCTGTTTTTGTTGTTCAGCTCGTAATTTCATTTCCCGCTCTTGCTCTTGAATACGATTGAGAGCTTCTTCGCGTAACATCTGCAAATGTTCCTGTTTCGATTTGCGCATCACTTGAAGCTTTTGAGCCATCAAGACTTGTTTTTTGCGCTCCGCCTCTTGTTGTTCGCGCAAAACGGCTATGCGATGCTCTTCACGCAATGCGTCTAAGGCAGCTCTGGCGTCTTTGATCTGTGTAAGCTTGTCTTGTAAACCTTCAAAGTGAACTCTTTTATCCTCTTGGTCTTGAATATATCTCAATAGTTTAGAGTGCAGAGCTGTAATATTCATGAAAAGTGTTTGCACTGAGCTATCGTTTGCGATAGATCGCCCTCTTGATGAATCGCTTTTCATTCGGTTGACAAAAATCTCTACTTGCGATTTTAAGTTTTCTACAAAATTTTTCATTTCAGGATCAACTTCACCATTTTGTTGATGCTGTTGCTTTACTGGAATGATCTTTGCTGGCATTGGACTCCCCATGTTAGGGGCTGAAGGGCTAGTTACATTTAGCCTAGAGTTTTGTTCTTCCAAGGCAGATTGACGTTGTTCCCAGTACTGGCGATTGAGATATTTAGCAAGCTCAGGATCTACATCTTCGTCATCCTGAATTTTAGATGGACTCGGTCCCTTAAAGATAAAATTTCACATTATATCCATGAAATAAATTAAAAATATAATTCTTTGCTTACTGGAGATGGTGGTGGTGAATACTGGACATTTGAAAATGTTGAATTTGAAAATGCAGCAGCAGAATAAGAGGAAGCTGAATTGGAGATAATGGCACTGGTAACCCGTTTCTTCTCTTGTTCCTTATGTTCAGCTTCACTCTGACTCAATGCTAGAGCAATTTGTAATTCCTCTTCTTCTCTGAGTTCCTCATCAGTTTTTCGTGGCGGTACTTGCTGTTGTTGGGCCAAAGAACTGGTTAGATATTCAGCAGGAAGATCAGATTCTTCCCGTTTAATAGCAACCACAGGTCTAATAGAAATACAACAAAAATCTTTAATAAAAGATAAATAAAGTTAAGCAATAAATATTATGAAAATTTTACTAACTTGTTGACTAAATCATAGCAGGTATTGCAAACACGAACTTCTTTTTCAATGCCATATTTTGGTATGGTAGATGTTTTTGCTGAACATTGGTGGCAAAAAACTTGGCCACAAGCTCTACAATGGTGTTTTCTCACAAAGGTACTGAAAGCTGTTCTGCAGCGATGACACGTTTCACCATCGACCCACTCAGGAGCATTATCAGCAACGAACATAGCATCACTTTCTTGTAAGGCAGGGAATTCAAAACCTTCAGCTTTCATAATGCGCATTGTATCTTGCACTGCTCTGTATTTTGGTGTGTCTCTAAAAGCGTTGGCCCATGCTTGGATTAATTCCAATATTTTGTTTCTTACAGGTTCTTGTTGAGTTTTTTTTGCGATATCTTTCAATTGCTCCATATACTGTTTAGTGCAGACTTCGTCATGCATTATTGAGCCACAATTTTTAATACAAGATTCAAGCACCTAAAATTAATAATAACACATAAATATTATTTGAAAAATGAATCATTTTAAGAATTGCGATGCTAAACTCACTTACCAATAAACCAAAACTAGCAGTGTGAGGATTATCATTGGTAATTTTCTTATTAATGGCAGCCAAAGCTACTTTTGGTCTGTGAAATGAAAACAAAATATGATTATAGTGTCAATAAACTCATAAACATACACTTTAAAAAATTCTTCAAAAATTCATTTGGAAACACGATAAATGGAACTTTAAATACCAATCATTTATAATAATGTATTGCAAATCTAGAAGTAACTATATCTTAATCAAACATTTATTGCATGATTCTTGCCAATCAATATTAATTTAATTTTCCGACTTTTCATTCGCTTGGAACTTGAAAAAATTTGTAATAATATTTCAATCGTTAGTTACAATCATTTTGTTCCAATTAATCATGTGTACATATGTTTACGTAGGTTATGACGTATCGAATGGAATCACAAGTATTTTATTACTATTTCGCTGGTCATAAAGTACTTACGGGACGTCGCCTTGTCTTATCATATCGCAAATACTCATGATTTTTGGCCATTCTGGCTCGAGATTGAGATTGCTCGTTGCCTTCTCTGTTGAAAAAATAAATGAAGCAAAGAAAAAATTACGCCATTGTTGATGTTAAAAAGCATAAGAGAGTGTGGTGTTGCACTCGACGTTTATCAAGCGTTTGACGCATCATAATGCACTTGGTAAACAAGGAGCAGCAGCAGCACAATGCGAAGAAATAACAAAAAGAAAGACACTGACCGAGCAACTTGGTGAAATTGCTGTTGTAACTCGACAGAATCGGCATGATGGTGTTTTTCTTTATTCAAGAATACCAGATGATTTTGACGACTGTTCTTCCGAGACCGAGAGACGATAGGATTGTGCCAAGCCAACGATTGTTTTTCCCCAGCCTGAGTCACTCCTTCGAAACGTCACAGCAGCAGCAGCAGCAGCAGCAGCAGCAGCACACGACGTATATATATTATGCAGTATAGTATTGCTGTGTACACCTCTTCGTACCGAGTGCGTATATACTGTGTACTTGTAAAAATTAGATATCGAGTTTTAGCGACGACTGCTCGCGTTCGGCCGACGTTTGACACTATCACAGCAGTATAACGTACAATATGCCTTTGGTTATTGTTTTTTACACTGCGCAGTGATATGTGGAACGAAGGCAGCGTTCTGCGCTGTCAACGGTTCTCTCAGAAGCGACTGCAGCACCCACGCCGACGAGCGCGAAATTCAAATTCGCGTGTAAAGATGTAACATTAAATATCTAATTTATATTTATTTTAAATGTCTCTTTTGTATCAAATAAACAACAGTTGTGTAATTTATATGTTGAATTTTAATAATTCGAGTCAAATTGAAAATTCTTCATAAGAAATGTGACTCAAACTTTTCTTCAAAATAAAGTTTTAATTTGAATTTTGTAAAAAGTAATTGAGTAGATTATCAAGAATTAATCTAACTGATGCAAGATATATTCAATTACTGAAAAGACAAGTAAGCGGTTCTACAATTTTGAAAGCCAAACCTGTATTGACACCATTGAGCATAAAATGGAATTTCAGATACTTTTAGCTTACACCCACCCATTGAATGGAATATCTGGAATATCTATTAAATCTGTGATTTAATTTGGGGAAAATTATTATATCCTCTATAGTTTTCATAAAACTTCACTCTTCAGTTGTCTAGAATAGTGTAGATTATGTATCAAATGAAAAATGTAATATTTATGTACTTTTATGTTGATAAAATAATGAATGTCAAATAAGTGTACAAAGGTTTAAAATTAAGCATTTGAAAACAATTTAATCAATATAGTATGCATGCCGTACATAATGTAGGAAAACATTTTCATAAAATACTATATGTACAAAATTCACTGTAAGATATTTAAAATCTTACAAAACATTACTTCCATCATCCTCAACTGATCACCCTTTTTGTTCAGTTAGCAAAAATCGATTCTCATCAGTAGTCCTATAGTAATTTAATGTCAGTCAATTAAATAAAATGAATGAATTTTTTCTGATGTCATATATTAAACATTATCTATTCATTAATTTACTCCTTGCAACAATAATGTGTTAATTCATTTGAAGCAATTCAACAGCTATAAAGTATTTAAAACTTTAAATTAAAAACTATGTTACTTAAAATAAAAATATTAATTATTACAGTATCATTAATTGAGCAATGATATTAACTTTGAGTTAAAACTATGATTTCATTTTATACATGATTCATAAAATCAATGTATTCAGTCTTGGCTTGGAATTTGTTATTGTTTGACAGGAACATCTACAGGATAGCAATCATGACGAATTTCCTCGGCCGCGATGGAGAGCTCCTGCTCGCTATCGTTGTTGTGTTTCTCCATTTTATTACCAGCGGTAACAGTTCGAGGGGACAAGATTATCGTCACAACTAATTATCATAGGTAAACTAAACATAAATCACTAAACACTTGGTTATAAGTAGCGAGCGTGAAAGATGGCTGGCTGCTTCACTCCGCTGGTTGGAACTGTCAATCGAGAAAGTTATGTATTGTCAAAACCCACTAACATCCACTAATCGTCCACAATGTACTGAAAGCAGTTTGTGGGTGAACAAGATCGTTACTGTACTTTTGTCAATTTTTAAATTATATGCTTGACTGGAAAATTTATAATTATTGATTTTAAGTGGTGTTAATAATTTCACTCGTTGATGAAATTTATCATACATCAAAAATGAGGAACGCGTGAAAAAAATTCGATCCAGAGTAATTCAAATATCCCGCACTTTTCGTGAGATGGCACATTGTCTGTGCGCAAAAAATTAAAAACACATGGGTTTGAGAGCGTTGGCGTCTGCTACGCAAAACTACCGGCTAAACACGAGCAACCAAACACCCCACAGTTTTGTAAACAATGGAGCAAAATAGCAAGTAAGTGAAATTCTAAATTCTTCACTTTAATTGATTTTCATTATTACGTTTATAAAAATGGAACATTTTATCATTCCATAGAGAAATTCTTCCTGCCAGGTATCTAAACGATCACATCGTAAGTACTGTTGATAAAATTGTGTTAGATGGCACACGTGTTTTCATGAATTTTTTTAGTTCAAAGCCATATTTGTTTTCATAGAAAGCCGATACCAGAGAAGATGGACGTGACTTTTTATCGTTTCGTCCAGTTTCCGTTAACGTAGGATCGATCAAAAACGCCGATAGTTCGGCTGTTTGCAGAATTGGCAACACGGGTGCAGTTTGTGGAATTAAGGCTGTGAGTATTTTGAATTTCTTCAAGATAACGAAATTTTTTCCATGAGAATTCATAACGTATATTAAATTTTAGGAATTAGGTCCTCCTCATGCTGACGCTCCTGATGTTGGTATCATCTTACCTATCATTGAGTTATCAGGTTTATGCAGTCAAAGATTTCGACCAGGACTTCCAAACGAAGAGGCAATGTGCATTGCCAAAATAGTCGAGGATATTTTGATAAATTCAAAAGCTATAGACTTGACAGATCTTTGCATTCATAAAGGGAAACTGGTTTGGATTCTCAACTGTCAAATTATGTGTACCAATGCTGATGGTGCTGTGGTAGATTGCTGCATTGCTGCACTGATGGCAGCCTTGAAAAATTGTATGTATTATAATTGCTGTAGTATTTACAATATGATTTGGTAAATTTATTTTAATGAAAATTTTTTAATCCAGTAACTGTACAAAAAGTAGAATATACTCCTGAATCTAATGAGTTCAAAAAAGATCCTGTGGAAAGAGTCAGCATTCCACTGAAACAGATGTCCATTCGTACATCTTTTGCTTTGTTGAAAGAGTTAGTATTTTTATTTTAAGTATATTATGATTTTAGTTATGCTAATTTTCATTATAATTTTATAATTCATTTTTATTTTTACCAGTGATCTACTCATTGCTGATCCAACATCTTTTGAAGAAGATATGGCAACAAGTATGCTCAGTTTAGCATACAATGAAAAAAATGAAATAGTTTATTTACACAAACCAGGTGGCGATCCCATCTCAGACACTTTATTAAAGAAAGCTATGAGTAAAGCAAAATCTCATACAGAGCAAATAAGAACTTTGATATCAACAGCTCAATCTACTGTTGGAAAAAAGTGATCAATAAAATAGATGTTTAAATAAAATATTTTGTTAAAAAAATTTATATTTATTGAAAAATGTTTTCTTGAAATATTCTGTGTTCAATAAAAATAAAGAAAAGTTACATATTTTTCTAAAGATAGCTTAAAATAATCTAATATAAACAAGTTTTTTTCATAATTTTGAGAAATTCTTCTTGGGATATTTCTCCATCCCCATCTCTGTCTGCTTCATCGATCATTTCTTGCAGTTCTTCATCGGTTAAATTTTCTCCCAATTCTTTAGCGACTCTTTTTAAATTTTTAAATGTTATTTTACCTGTGCCATCATCGTCGAACAGTTGAAAAGCTTTCAGTACCTCTTCTTTGGCGTCTTTCTCTGACATCTTGCTAGCCATTATTTCTAAAAATTCTTCAAAGGACAATTTTCCAAGACCATCGGGGTCAGTGTGAGCAATGAGTTTCCTTATCTCCTCTCTGGTGGGCTCGAATCCAAGAGCTCGAATAGCAACTTTTAGCTCTCTAGTTGCTATCTTACCAGTACCATCGGGATCAAAGAGATCGAAAGCCTCCTTGATGTCAGCTTTCTGCTCCTCTGTCAATTCAAATTTAGCAAAAGGCTTCTTCCTGGATAATACAGCACTAGTTGTCTTTTTGGATGCCAACTGCAAAAAATAATAGCAATGAATAAAAGAAATTTTAAATAACAAAAATTCAATTCATCTATCGACTTTTTTCTACACAAATTTCAACAGTTGAAAGTTAAAAAAAAAAACTTGCCATTATGCAGTTAAAAATAGCAAAAGTACGCGCGTGAGCAAGGAAAGGTGTGTAGTAGGCGTAAAGTGAGTAGCTTATGAATTATGGATATTAGGAACTTATTTACCGGAGAGAAGTTTGTTATGCGTAATCGCCCTCGTTGCTAGCTTATGTTGCCAGTGGCGTCGATTATGATTGTTCGATATATAACCGGGGCTGCGAAATGCAGGTGGGCGTGTGCTCGACCCTGTAGGCAGCGTTAATTCTCCGTGTGCGCGTCTAATATCGAATTTTTTGCCCTATTATTAAAGTTTGCGCGCTGCAGCTTGCCTTTTGACACGCAACGTGTTGGCTGGATCGGATTAGATGCCCGGCGCGGCCGTCTGCATGGTTACTGCGGCGGCGGCACATTTGTTTGTTTGTATCGTCGAGTTCCAGCTGCGGCCGTGAGAGTCGCTGTGGTATAGACTGTTCGGTTGTCTGCTTTCGAGTCAAGTATGCCCATGTGCTTTGCTGCAAGAGCACGGCTGTCTGACTGTTGAGTGTTTTGTTGATTTATTATTTTAATTTAATTATCAAATAAGAAGGCAAAATGGCAACTGCGCCGAATGTCACAGTGCCCAAATCACAAATTCGTGCCATACCTGGTACGAAACCTGCAACGCGCAATGCCCAACTTCTTGTGTCATCTGGAATTCCATCGCTTGATCACTTTATTGGTGAGGTATCTTGTAAACAAATTTTATGAATTGAGAGTTGACAAATTTATTTCTTCTTAGGAGGTGGAGTGCCAATAGGATCGATACTCTTAGTTGAAGAAGATCCATACAACACCTATGCAAAGGTTATATACAAATACTTCATAGCTGAAGGTATCGAATGTACACATTCAGTTTTTGTTGCATCACAAGATGCAAAACCGGAACAAATTTTGAAAGAACTACCAGCAGTAGTGAAAGAAGATGAACCCAAACATAGGCCTAAAGTGCCGTCTGCCAAAGACGATGAAATGATAATTGCATGGAGATATCAAAACATGAAAATTGTGGATTCATCACCCGGTGACAAATCCATTTTTGGACATTACTATGACTTAACTAAAAATATTTCAAAGGAAGCTTTGGAAAAGGCAAACATTACGACGTGGAACGGTGAAAATATACAATGCCAAAATAATCTCTTTGAAAATGCTGCCTACTACGATCTTTTGTTGAGCATAGACAAAACTATTCAACAGGGAAACTTTTCAATATCTCAAACAGCTAGTGAAAGAAATATTTTGAGGATAGCGATCCAATGTATTGGTTCCAGAATGTGGATGTCTGATACAGAAGAAAAAACAAGCAAAGATTTGGTCAAATTTGTGTATATGTTGAGAGCTTTACTTCGTGAATCATATGCAGTTGTTATTTTGACTATTCCTCCTCTTAACTATGAAGAAACAACGGTAAGGATTTTTTACACACGCGAATGGGCTTAATTATAATTATATATGATTATTTAATATTTATCTATTACAGACTGTACAAAGAGTTGAACATCTATCAGACATAGTAGTCAATTTAGAATCTTTTGCTGGATCTGCCAAAGAAACCAATCCAGTATTCAAAGATTATCACGGCTTGTTGAACGTGAAGAAGCTTCCAGCATTCAATACATTGGTTTCTCAAGAATTGCTGTACTCTGATCTGGCGTTCAAGCTGCGAAGGAAGAAATTCCTCATCGAGGTAATTTTAATTTCAGTAAATGAACAAAAAAAAAAAAAAAAATACATAAAAATTGAAAAGAAAAAAACTTATGAATTTATGAACTTTTTACAGATTTTACATTTACCACCAGAATTGGGAGAGACCACTCAACGCGAGCAGGACGATCTGGGCTGCTGCTCATCAACTGGTCGCGGCGGCGGCTGCTCGAGCGGCAGTAGAGGGCAGAGCAAATTAGATTTTTAAATAAAATGCGTGTATGTGTGTATAGTGTGTACGCGAGCGAGTTGTGTGCGTTTATACGCGCGCGAGCGCAAAAAAGTGAGCCACATGCATAATGCATTTTAATGCGCACACGTGTGCGCTCGCTACCGTGTGCCTCTGTGCGAGTACGTATATATATGCATGCGCGAGCGATATATAGGTAGGTGCGTGCAACGCGTGGCCCAATTATGGGTTTAAATTAACGCTTTTTTACGATGCGAATAAAACGAGGAGAGAAAGAGAGGGAGAGAGGAGAGGATAGGAGATAAGCCTACCTGAGCAGCCACAATGATGATGATGATGCGCATGAAATGCGCTGCCGCCGAGAGCACGCGAAAATTAGCGAAATAAAAGCATTTACGTATGCGCGTATATTACGCGCTGTTGATGTATACACGTATACGGACCATGTATAGACACATATAGGTATACGGGGAACACGAGTAGCTATTATTTTTTATACGGATTGATGCAGTTTGTTGCTGCCTCTTTGTTTGTTCAACGGAGCTGCATCGATAGCGACGTTTTTCCGTACTTTTGTAAAAAAAAAACTCTATGTATTACATTTCGGTATACCACATGTTATACATGCGTTGTACAAGAATAAATTATTATTATCATTATAAAAACGTTTATGTTTTCTCGTTATAATTTTGAACTCATTCGCTCGTACATTGAATTAGATTACTCGAACGACGATTACAATGGAAAATCGGTTTTGTAGACCACCGCGCGACACCGCACGCGTTACGAAAATCGGAATATTTTAAATCGAGCGAGAGATTTGGCAACTCTTTTGTCGAAAGCAACTGAAATCGATATTTTTCATCATATCGTGCGAATCTTGTACGATAAATAAAAAGGTATAAATGGAGTCATCGCGGTGGCAACCGTCCATCAGTTCGCTATTGAATTTCGCCGCGCGGATATATCAAATTTCGCCGCCGCCTCGACGCGCGCACACACGCTGTAAATCGCTTATTCCGTCGAATTCGTGGAAAACCGGAAACGCGAATCGATCGCGATAAATAGTCGATAACGATGCCACCGAACAGTCCCGACGGGCCGCCGATTTGCGCGGAGAAAAAGCCGAAATTACCAGCCAAGTATGCCGAGCTCGACGAGAACAACAACGTCGAGAAGGATGTACCGGCGATCGTCGACGTCGAGCGACAGATCCAAGCGGTGGACGACTCCACGCAGTGGCTGATACTGCGCAAAGACATCAAATGGCTCAACGTGATCGCGATAGCACTGCTGCACCTCGTGGCTCTCTACGGACTGCTGACCGTCTCTTACTCGCAGCACAAGCGAACCATGGCTTGGGGTTGGTATACAATCCATCCTAATTTTCCGTATAATGTAGCAAAATTTTTTTTTAACGTACTTACATATACGTAGCGTTCGTGATCGTGATCTTTACGGGCTTCGGGGTGACCGGTGGTGCGCATCGGCTCTGGACGCATCGATCCTACAAAGCCAACACGCGGATGCGAGTCCTGCTGATGATATGCTTCATTACCGCTGGGATGGTAAGCGCAACAATCGAATAACAACGTATTAACATCGTGCAAAAATGTCCTCTTTTGTGTGTCCCCGTCGTATCGTAGAATAATTTGTATCACTGGGTGCGCGACCATCGGGTGCATCACAAGTACTCGGAAACGGACGCCGATCCCCACAACAGTCGGCGCGGCTTCTTCTTCTCCCACGTGGGTTGGCTGATGCTGAAGAAACATCCGGACGTCAAAGCCAAGGGCCAGAGCATCGACATGAGCGATATCGTTAACGATCCGGTCGTGGCCTTTTGCGACAGGTAAAAAAAAATAAATAAAAAAAATCACAATACGACGGCAAAAAATGACGTTTCGACATATTATATGCGTACACAGGCATAATCTGCTACTGCGAATACTGACGACGCTGTTCACGATCGGCGTGCCGGTCTATTGCTGGCACGAGGACTGGTACCACTCGTTCGTGTTTCAATTGTTTCGCTACGTCTACGATCTCAACGCCACTTGGAGCGTCAACAGTCTGGCGCACATCTACGGCGACAAGCCTTACAACAGGTATCATCGATTGTACTTACTATTTGTCGCGTGGAGTATATATAATATATACGAAGCAAGAAAATAATTTTTGCGCGCAGAAAAATCGACCCGGTCGAGAATCGCTTCGTCTCGTGGATCACCTTCGGCGAGGGCTGGCACAACTACCATCACACCTTCCCGTGGGACTATCGCGCGGCGGAGATCGGCGGCGGCCGCTTCAATCTCACCGCCCGAGTCATCGAGTGGTTCGCCAGGCTGGGCTGGGCCACGGATCTGCGGGAACCGTCGCCGGCTCTCGTGAGAAAGACGATCGCTCACAGGGGCGACGGCACCCACCCTTACGTTCTGCGCCAGACGACCTCCACAGCCGGTAGTGGTGGATCGGTGGCGGACGACGTGCTGGATAATTTGGAGTCGGCGATCGCCAAGAGTCATTTTTTCTGACGTAAAACGAGAGAGAGAGAGAGAGAGAGAGAGAGAGAGAGATCGGTACAATTGTAAATATATCATAACGAATTTTGATACGAATAATAAATAAAATAATGAGCTCATTTCGAAAATATCGATTTCCTATCATTCATTGACCAGCATGCGCCTCTGTATACCTACATTATAAATGCGTAAATTCGAAAAGGCTCGAAACTAAACAAATGCACAGAAATGCGCGAGGAGAGAACAAAAAAAAAAAAAAAAAAAAGGCAGGGTCTCCCACGCGCACCGTACACCACACGGACTGCTGCTGCGACGCGTTTCCTTCCGTTTCCGTCGCGCGCGCAGTGTATTCGATTGTATTACGCGCGTGTGTGTGTGCATATGGGCCTATACATCGCTGTGCATCGTATCGTGTTGTAACTGCGCTATACACACACATAAATGCGTAAAATGTTAAGGTGTGCGCTTGAACAGTAGCAGCAGCAGTTTACGTCTCGCTCGAGGTAACTTCGATCTAAATACAAAAAGAAGAGAGAGAGAGAGAAAAAAAAAGTAGTAGTAGTAGAGGAAACTCGTCGGTCGGTCGGTCGGTGCTGCGCGCGAAATTTTTCAGCCGACGCGAGCGCATTTTATATGCTGGCGGCGCGCTGCGTTAATCGACGCTGGCAATTAATACAAACTATACACACGGAACCGGCGCGCAGGCACAACACTCGCGAACGAGCTGCGCTGCGTGGCGCGCGCCCGCCAGTCATACATACAGATTTCAACGCGCTACGAAGTGACGACTTCCTATATACAGCTCGGTGCTGTCGAGTACGTTTCGTGACTTGATTTTTTTTTGCCGTGAAATGAATCTCGCGAACGAATTCTTCGAGTGAACTTTGTGAGTGCGTAAATCGTTGTGCAGATCGGTAAGAGCAAACAAATATAAGCGTGGTCCGCGGAGAGCCAGAATTGCCGTGCCGACAGATCGGCATGGCATCGGCGCTCGAGATCGTCAGATGAGCACCGCACTGATAAACAATTGGATCGTACCGTACATCAGGATGCAGGAGAAGCAAAAACTCGGCTTCAGCCGAGCCTTCATGTGCTGCACCAACATTATTTTTCTCGTGAGTATATCTGTACCATAATTGAAATGACTCCTAAAGATACGATGTAAAAAATCCAATTTTTTTACCTTTTGCTGGAAAATTCATGGCCACTTTATAAGTGAATAAAAAACATTTTACGATTCTTTTTATTGTGTAGAATATTTTTACCAGACTTTTATATACAATAATTTTTCACATAATATAATACGTGCGGCACCCATAACACAGATATCGGGCTTCGTGCTGATGTCTCTGGGCGCCCTGCTGCTGGCCGACAGCGAGCGAGTCCTGATGTCGCGTCTGCTGGGCGGCAGCGACACCTGGCCCGAGCAGCCTCTCTTCTACTACGTGGCCCTGGGCGTCGTGGGCCTCGGCTTCTTCATAGCCTGCTGCGGCCTGCTCGGATGCTGGGTCTCGTGCCTGCGCAACTGCTGCATCACCGTTTCCGTGAGCTATAACTATTTTCTTTTTTCCTTTTCTTTTTTTTTTTTTTTCTATATAGCCATCGCGCGTCGGTGCACGGATGATGATTGTGCGGGTCGCTCGATTGTGCGATCGTGGCGCAACGGAATTGTGAAACTTCGGAGCTCGCGCGGATGTATAGATAGGTTGTTCAGCGGTATACAGGCAGTGCTATAACGACACATTTGCATTATATGGTTTGACAAAAGAAATCGACTCGGCGCGCGAACTCGGGTACATATATACAAAATTGGAGCGTACGCGAAAACAAAAGTTGTGCAACGCGTACTATATCCATCATTATTATAGGCTCTTCGCTTTAGATAATGTAATTATTGCCGATCGTCGTCGTCGCCCGCGAGAATTAACATTTATAATCCCCCGCGATGATTCGACGCTGCGCGGATCGTTGTTACCATTATATAAAACGCGAGCCGTTACATACGTATACGTCGTACGGGTCGCCCTCGACGCACCCGCACATTATTATATACGCGCAACAAGGAAGGGGGGCCCTTTTATTATAATGCGCGCGGTGCAGCTCTCCCGCGTAAATGTATACGTCACATGTACCGGATCGCAACTGTTTCTATTGGTGCGTTCGAGGCAAGTTGCAACGGATACGCGTGCACACACACACACACAAACACGACGGCGACTCGTGTTATAATTACGCACACCTGCGCGCTGCTTTCGTCGGACTGTATATATATAGAGGTATATAAGTGATACTCGTTCGAAGCTATCTCCGCGCGAGTCATACATTATTATTAGTTATGCACACACGCGCGCGCGCGCGCGTATTTTCGCCAATGATTTTGCTATTACAGACATGCTGCGATGATCATTTGGAACACACACGATAGCATAGATCGCACACGCAGATTTTCCGCGCTTACACGTGTGGATAATTATTAATTTTTTTTCTTTCTTTCTTTCTCTCTCTCTCTCTCTGACTTTTATCTATACAGTACGCCGCGGTCATAGTGGTACTGCTGGTGTCCAAGTGCGCGCTCTGCCTCGTGGTGGTATTCTGGCCGCACCTCGTCTGGGTCGACGTACGCGCGGCCCGACTGCTGCGGGCCCTGCAGCGCAGCTACGCCCTTCCGGGCCGAGAGCAGCTCACCGCCGCCCTCGATCTCGCTCAGACTTCCGTAAGTGCCGATGATGCATTATTCATTACCCGCGCGTCGTATCCGATTCATCTCATTCGGTTCCTTTTACTCTACCTTACTTTATTTATTTATTTTTTTACCCACGTTACATTCGCGATCGCGCGACTTTCTCCACGCGATGCGATCGTAATTGTATGTAAGATTAATTCATTAATTCGCATATATATGTGTAGTTCTCGTGCTGCGGCATAAACGGCAGCAACAATTACGGCACATCCTGGTGGCGTCTGCAGGAGCTCGGCCGTCGGGAGCTCGTCGTGCCGCTGAGCTGCTGCAAACTCAACAACACCCTCGAGCCCGAGGCGTTTCTCAATCCTCAACCCCAGAATCTCAGCCTCTGCCAATCTCTGAATCCGGCCGAGCATCAGCTGGCTCGTCACACCTTCGTAAGTTTAGTCGTAATAATTCATGAAAATTAGATGGCACCTCGAGAAAAACTACCTAATTTATAAATTGGGGTCTTTATTTTCGATCCTCTTGAAATACATACGAATTTCAAATCTTTAATTCATACTTTTATATTATACTTTTACCAATCAACTTCAATTAATGACCCAGTAAATCTTAGTACAGTCAATCGTTCGATCCAATCCAAAAACGATTGCGAAAAAATAAACAACAATTAATTTATGTTTTAACGAAAATTAATATTATTATAATTATTCATTTAAAGAAACCTCTCTGTACTTCAAAAACTCCCTAATTCATAATTTTTACCAAAGTCTGGTGAAATTATAGAATAAGTTAGCTGTTTGACATTTAATCGAGAATTTAACGTATATGATAACAAAATTGACGTTGGCGCAGGGCTGCCTCGAATCGATCGAGAATTGGGTGCAGGATCAGACTCTGGTCGTGCTGGGAATCGGTCTGCTGGTCGTGCTGGTCGAGCTGTTCGCTCTGATGAGCACGCTGCTGGCCTGCTCGCGCCTCAAGAGCGTCATGAATCAGCGGGCCAGAAACAGCCACAGCGGCAGCGGCAGCAACAACAACAAAGCGGCGGCCGCAAACACCTGCGTCCAGACGGCGTCTACCTTCACGTCGACGCAGACTTTGGGGCCAGATACGTTCGGCAACGAGGACGCGCACGATTACGGTTAGTATATATATGTAGCTCGATCGATGCCATCCGATTGGACTGAGCAATTATGTATTTCTATTTTGCAAACATTTTTAGATGAGAGTTCCAATCAGTTTTGAGTTTTAATTGAAAACCGAGTAAAAGTTGATAAAAAAGCGTTTTAAAGATTTTATAAACATTCAGGAAAGTAACGTAATTTTTTTAATGTTTTATGTTACTAGGTAATTTTCAGTTAGTTTAGAGTTAAGGAAAAATTGGGTAAACTTTTATAAATTGTCGTGAGTCAAAAAATTCATCTTTTATGTAAGTTTATAAATGCGTATACAATTTTTAAAAAGTTTTATTAAATACACAAAAATTATATTTCCATCGGGGATGCATCGAAAAATTCTTATAAAAATAACCGTGTCACGAAGTAAAATAACTTTTAAACGTATGTTAAATTTGATTATATCTTTCGATAATTTCATCATTACATTACGATACCGATTCTTTACTGTAGGTATGTCCGGCTACTGCACTAATCTTGAGAGCCGCTTGATGATGGCTGGGACGAACAATACCTTCAACGCCGGCCTCATCAATAACAATCACAAGTCTTGAAGGTGGCTCGAGGACAGCGAGACTATAACGACGACGACGATGATCGGCAACAACAACAACAACAAGAGGAGTCAAAATTCCACGCCCACTCGCAAATCGGACATGAACCACAACGACGTGACCTCGCCCAAAACTCCCTGGGGCAATCCCGTGGACGTTCCCCAGGAGGAGCTCAGCAGGTATCTTCAGTCGAGGCTCGACCCGGAGCAGCAGCAGCAGGAGCAGAACAACAGCGGCGAACGGACGATACTCGTGAGATCGTTGAACAGGCCGAAGAGGCAGAGGATCGACAAGCAGCAGCAGCAGCAGCAGCAGCAGATCCCGACGGTGAAGAGCCAAAAGCGGAAGGCACACCGCAGCAGACGTCGTCGTCGATTCGAGGTGGCCGTCGGACCGGCTGAGGGTAGCTATCATCAGTTCGTGCGCAGCAGTCCGTCGTCCAATAGCCGCGCCACGACGACCACTGCGACGGAGGATAGGAAGAAGAGAAGCAACACGCTGAAAGCCGTGGAGAAGTCCGGTATCGTTAACACGACCATCGGCGTGTACGAGAAAAATGGACTGCCGACCGCGGCGAGCTCGTCGTCTCATCACGGCAACAATGGAAACCACAAACGTACGAAGACGCTGATTGGCGTGCCCCTGGTCGGCATGCAGCCCGTCCTGCCGATGAACGGAAGGATCGAGGTGACCATGACGAGAAGCAACGGCAAAAAGAGACGAGCTCCGCCCGTGCCGATCGCCTATCCCGTCAAATTCACGAAGAACCCGTACCTCGCGTCGTCGGCCAAAAATGCGAGAGATTTTCATCTGATCAGAGAGTCTGGCGTCAATAACAACAACAATAATAACAGCAGCAGCTCGCAGACGTATCCGATGTTTTCCATGAGCTCGAGAAACAATAACTCGATGATGCTCGACGCCTCGAAGAGGAAGACTCTGTACGCCAAGGACGCCGATGGCGACGAGGCCGTCAGAGTTTTGGCCGATCTCTGTCTGAATCCACTGGCGAACAACAACAAGCGTGCCTCGTTCATGATGTGGTGACTGACTTTCTTTTGCGCTGTACTTAGTAGTTCGCTGTCCTCGAGCAAATAAAAATTGCCGCGTTTCAGTAACAAGAACATTGATAACGAACAAAAACTGATTTGTAATCGTGATAAATTTAAAATGTAATTTTAGAATTAAAACCAAATAGTTAAGTAGCAAGTTAGGTAGATTTATGTACAGGTAGACAAGTTGCAGCCAGTTATATCCATGTATCATACCGATTCATTGCATTAATAAAAATATTACAATTTTCACATTGAGAGCGATTTATGCAATCCTTTTTCAATCAACATAATTACGCTCAACTCGAAAAAATGTTTATTGTGTCTATTATTTATTGAGACATATAGCTACAAAAGAATACTGTAAGCTTGATGCAGATTTAAAGTGAAATCAGACGTAGAAAAAGTAATTTGTTGAAAATTCATCTGTGAGTACTGATTTATTTTTTTACATAAATTGCATATCAAACAAAAAAGACTTCTATACTAAAATTTAATCATAGCGATTTAAAATTCTAAAAAAATTCATGAAAATTTGATCGAAATTGAAGCCAGCCTCCACCGGTAGGTAGCGACTTACCTTTATCTGTACATCTGCAACTGGCAAAATGAAATAAATTGTATGTAAGTAAAAGTAAGTCTCTTGATTGCTGTTTGAAAAACTTTGAATGTCAATTATAATTACGTTCATTTTAATTTAATGTGAAATCGAATTTACTTACGCAAAGAAAATAACTTCCTCTACTTTTACATCTCATTGAAAGTCAAGCCGAATTCAAAATTCATCATTTCACCCTGCCTCGAAACGGATTCGAAAAGTAAATTTTGACCGATCGAGTATCGACTCGTTCGTTTCCAGCACCAATCATCACCGAAACGCTTCTATATAGATTAGACTGGAAGCAAAAAAAAAATTTTTTTTATTTTGACCGGACCAAACGGAAAAGTGTTCTATGTACCAAAAAAATAGTCTGTGCAAAATTTTAGCTCATATAAATTGAGATAACCCGTGCCGCCAGTCGCTTGAAGGTTTTTAAATTCGATTTAAATTAATTTTTACCGCGTCTTTAGTGATATTCAAATGGCTCTGCAGCCGTCAATTTTCAAGCAAATAAAACTTCGAACCCGTCAAATTAAAGGTCTTGAAAAGAAAATACGTCGAAAATGATGTTTTCAAATTTTTTGGGGTATTAAAGGACACTTTAGTGTTATAGTTAAGCTTGAAATCGATTCTATTTTTCAACTTCGTTAATGATTATATTCTCAATTTGGCTGTAGATTTAACTCCGAGACATCTATAAGCTCGTTAGGGGGCTTAAAAGATAGGTCTTGAGATGCTTTTAATCATTTAGTAGTAAGTAGTATTTGGAAAAAGTTTCAGTATTTTGTGAATGTTCTCATAATAAAAAGCGTGTTATCATTTGACGGATGAAAGAAAAAAAAATACGAAAAAATTGAATATTTAAAATGCCGTTATACAGAGCTAGGATGCAATATTCTGGTCGAAACTTCGTCATTTTTTAGCTTATTACACACGAAAGAATACCACGGAGTTTAGGAAAAATTGGTGTTTCTCTGAGTGAACTTCAGCTATTAGAAAACTAGAAAAATTTCGATTTTTTTCCATTTTTTAGCAATATTCAAACGGCTCTACAACAGTTAATTTTGAAGCAATCAAAATTTTAAAAAAAGAAAATTAAAGGTCTTTTCAAGACCTTTAATTTGACGGGTTCGAAGTTTCATTTGCTTGAAAATTGACGGCTACAGAGACATTTGAATATCGCTGTAAAGAAGCGGTAAAAATTAATTTAAATCGAATTTAAAAACCTTCAAGCGACTGGCGGCACGGGTTATCTCAATTTATATGAGCTAAAATTTTGCACAGACTATTTTTTTGGTACATAGAACACTTTTCCGTTTGGTCCGGGCGAAATAAAAAAAATTTTTTTTTTGCTTCCAGTCGAATATAGATAGAGAATACGCAATTCATTTGCGGATTATCGACGTTCCTTCATACATTCGCGCCGTAATCTTGGCGTGAAAAAGTACACGCGTCGAAAGTGCTTACGTCGGTACTTTAACGGCGCGCACAAGCTATACATACACGAGAAGATATTACATAAAAGTCCTTATATACAGCGCGTGACGGGTGTGTGCGCGCGCGCAAAAAGGAAATTGTCATTTCGCCGGGGCACGTACCATCTGCAGAGTAGTAGCTCGTCCATGCAAAAACACCACCTAAACGCGCTTTTCAGGGCGAAAAACTTTTCTCTCTCTCTCTCTCTCTCTGCTTGCCTCGCTCGCTCGCGTGTATTTATGAATACATAACTGTGTATGTGCGTGCGCGCAATCCCATCCCCCTCGGCGCAGCTTGGAGGTACCGAGCGGATTAAAAAGTGCCGGTTCGTCGGAATTTGTATCACGTCTTGGAAAATAAGACGTGCTGAAATTATATTATGATGCGACTTTATGTGCGCTAGATCGTGGCGCAAAAAGAGATTGTTTCTTTTTTCTATAATAATCCATGGAGTTTTGCAAGGCTCGAGCGTACTTTGGAGCAGATAATTAATTATGAAAATAATGAGCATATTGAGAGCAAAATTTATAAACCTAGTCAGTTATATTATAGTACATACATGCCTTGAACATGATTTTTTTATTCAAGTTTTGAAATTGAATATTGAGTGTCAAATTAAAGTAATAAATCAATCGCCTTAAAATGTTGCCTGTGGTACGCACGGTCCTATTTTCAACATAATTGTTCAGAATTTTGATTAAATTAAATTTATTGTTGTTTTTTTATTCTCATTACCTCTATAACATAGCCATCAAAAAAATGTAAATAAGCTTATGACACGAATCCACGAAAATAAGTTTACAGGCATAGTTGTGTCAATCTTCTTAAAATTATTATAAAGTTTCAAGATGATTGATTTATTATTTATTCAGAAAAAAAATTATAATTGTAGAGCTTTTTTTATCGATAGTAATTGGAGTGACCATCGTATAAAGTTTAGGATGATTTGAGGCGAGGCAAGTTCTATTGACATACAGATAGAGGTTAGGTAATTACGGTAAAGATCCAATTAATTATTGGAATCATGAAAGATCGATTGAGCTAAATTAATTGAAATGAAAATGAAAAACGAAGCCGTGTTGATATTTTAGTTCATTTACAAAAGGTGAGTAAACAGGTTTCCGCAGTCACGACAAAGTGAATAACGAATTAAAATATTTTATTGATCTTTAAAAAATTCAATAATAAATACAAAAAAAAGATTTTTAAAAATTACATGGCATATTCGCGTGATTGTAAAAGTCTTCATTGGTTTTAAATATATTGGGATAATTGTCACACCTTTATGGTTTGATTCTGTTATGTACTTTCATTATGTGAGTTTTGAGGGTATTTTTTCGGCAGTACGACTTCAGGCAAATATCACATAAAAAATTTTTGATACTATTGTGTACTGCATTCATGTGATCTTTAAGATTACTTTTTTGTCCAAATGATCTTTGACAAATGCCACATTCAAAGGGTTTACTCCGATTATGTACTACGTTGACGTGCCTTCCGATGCAGCTATAGTAAGCAAATGATTTGTGACAAATATTACATTTAAAGGGTTTGCTACGAATATGTACGGCAGTTATATGAGTTTTAAGATTTCCTTTTTGTCTAAATGATTTGTGACAAATCTCACATTCGAAGAATTTGCTGCGTTCATGTACTGAATTTATGTGAGCATTAAGATGACTTTTGTTTTTAAATGACTTGTAGCAAATCTCACATATAAAGGGTTTGCTATGATTATGTATTGCATTTATGTGACGATTGAGGTTATGTTTTTGTCCAAATGATTTCTGGCAAATTTTACACTCAAAAGGTTTGCTCCGATCATGTGCTGCTTTTATGTGACGCTTGAGGTTACTTTTCAGTCCAAATGATTTGTGACAAATATCACACTCGGAGGGTTTACCTTGATTATGTACTGTATTTATGTGACTTTCAAGTACATACTGGTATCCAAATGATTTGTGACAAAAGTTACACTCGAATGATTTACGAGAATGCACTGATTTCGTGTGTTTATTAAGGTAAGTCTTGTATCCAAATGGTTCGTGACAAATATCACATTCGTAATTTGCTACAATGCTCTTATGTGTCGTTTTGATATGTCTATTTAAACTCATATCTGTGTTATACGTTATTCGACATACTATGCACTCGTGTAATAATCTGGTTCCATTTTTTTTTTCAATAATTTGACCGTCTTTAATTCATCAATTTTCGATCGGACCTTTTCTCGAAATTGAGCGTTACCATTGCAATCCAATTCTTTTTCTATTGGAATATTGAGCTCTCGTTCGTTCGAATAACTAGTCCGAATTTGATCTTCTACTTTCACAATGGGTGAATAACTCTGACACTCAGTATTGCAGGTGCTTATTGACAGAGACTCGAGTTCAAGTTTGACATTTTTGTAGTCAAAATCTATAAATATCTCTTCATCTAACTTCATCCGTAACGCCTCATTCTCCTAAAATTACAATTGTGCAATAGTTTTTTGATGGTTGAAAATCGGAGCATAATTTTAAATATCATTTAACTCACTGATGATTTATGAAATTCGGATGTTTCACAGTTTTTGACATCCCAAGATTCCACCGAATTGAAATTTTTATCAACATTTGCATCTAGCCAAGTATCATTTGCCTCTTTTTTTACTCTGAAAAATAATAGAGTTTGATAAAGTAATAAAAGGTCACGATCGTAAAACAAAAAATTGTTTACCTAATTACGTTACCACTACTCTCCATCCCTTGCTTAATTGCACTTTGATTCACTGTAAATTTCAACTATATGCATTGAGAAAATATTGAAGGTTAAACACTCGATTTCGCCAATTTGTAGGCACTTGCTCAAAGCTGAAATTTAAATGCTCGTCAGCGACTCTACTTTGACACTACACAGCTCGGCTCTGACACGAAATTCTGTAGAGTCACAAGTTAAGGAATAAAAGTTTACGTTGTTTTATTTAATTATGAAAACCATTATGAACTATGAAATACGGAATCAATTGAGCTGTGCACAGTATCTAACAGCTAAAGATAAGACGATAATTCAGCAAGGTGCTTTTGTGTTATATATCTTTAGAATAAATTGGAATATTTGAAAAATTAAAAATTGTATACACCACTTGAATGAAATTTGCTTCGTACTATAGTAAAGGTCATGTTTAACAAAACATTTTTCCTTTACATAGCTCATAATTTAAAACATTTTTGAATGTGTTAAATTTGAACAATGTTTACGCTACAAGACTTTTGTTAAGGGTCACGTATAGTCCAACTTTTCAATCGAGTGTTTTTTTTCGTGTACAAGAATCATTGTTGAAAATTCTAAAAACGTATACCGTCCTTTTAGCACCAAAGACTTTATTTTTTATCATAGGAAGTTGCTTTAGTTTTTTTAGTGTAAATTAACTCGACGATATATTTTTTAATCATGGTTTTGTTCATGATTAGTAAAAATCATGTCAGATTATTGGCCTATTATTTTACAACAAAGGATTGAAAATAGCGAACTAGAACAGTTATCAAAATCAGATATATCAGATCTTGAAAAATGTATTGGTCAAAAGATTCCTTTGATGATACCTTTCATGAAGGCATCGCTTATGTGGCCTTTTTGGACTGGTGCAATGAAGTATGTTTCATGGGTACCTTTTGTGCTTTACATTTTAGTTTTTATATCTACGGTATTTTTAAAAATTGCATTTATTATTTTTTGTTAAAACTTAAGTTAGAGTTTAAATGAAAATTGTCATTTGTAGTTAATTTATTTGGCCGAATTAATAAGCAGCAACGAATCGGACACGAATTTAGTATCGGAATTATGCTTGCAATTTTTGGTGCTATGTTTCTTTATTTTCGTCATGTACTTCGTAACGTTGAACAAACGAAACTCCTTGTTGGTACAATCAACAACATTCAATGTTCTATCGCATAGTGATGTACGAGAAGTGTAACTGAAGACTTTTTTTAATTTTATCATGTCACAGATACGAGAGGTATTGGTTCTTATGAGCAAGAACTTTTTTCGATGTAGTTTCGAGGAAAAAGAAATTCTACATAATTACACTAAAACAGCTAATTTCGCATCTTACATTATAACAGGTTAATACTTCAATTAAAAAATTAAATAAATTTCATCGAACTCTAATAAAAAAATCGCAACTTTAATGCTACTTTTAAGCTCTTATGTTACCTTTCCCTTTATAAAAAAGCATATTCACACCCATTGCATAAAATACTATTACTAAACTAAAGGTTTACTTATTTTGTAGGTCTTATATGCTGCTCTTATAACATGTATTTCATTATAATTTCGGTATTAGTGCCAGTTACAGCAAATTTAATTTTACCAGGAAATTATACTTATGAAAAAAAGTTATCCCTTCACTTTGAATTGTTCATAGACAAATACAAACACTTTTACTATTATTTTGTTATTATAGTAATAATTACTTATATAGCACAAGTGTTTATTTCAAGTTTAGGAATTTCTTATACACTGACAGTTGCCTTTGTGACAGCGAAATTTAGATTCTTGGGGTATTTTATTAAACATTTTTATAATTTATTCATTGCTGATTAAAATAAATACATTCGTTTTTCAAATTAGATTCAAATTGAAACAAATTTTGATTTTGTCTCAAACACAGGATTTTTTAGAAGAAAATGATGACATTTTTAAAAATATCTCTCAGCTGGTCCGGCTACATCAATATTGTATACAGTTAAGTGATAAAAATGAAGATTGATTTGATCAATTTTATTTTATGTTTTTATGATTAGTTTCTTTGAGTTACTGAATAAACTTACCAGTCCTGTATTAGTCCTTGGAATATTGAATGTAATCATCGGCTGCAGCATTTCTGGTTGTTTGGTACGATTTCCATTGTTTGTATTTAATTTTGGAATTAGACCATTTATAATTTATAGCTTAATTTTTCTCGCAGATGGTAATTAAATATAAAGAGGACATAAATTTTGTCCTGAAAATGATCTTCGCGTATATCTTGTGCGCAGAGTTTTTGTTGGTTGTGAGTTTTCCCTCGCAGATGATCTCTGATGCTAGCAGTGATATTTTTGAGGACTGGTAAGAATAGCAGAGCAATTTTCAAATAAAATTCATGTCCGTGAAACATCAAAATTTTACTTTTTTATAATAAATTTAAACTTGCTGGTCGTTTTTGTGCAAAATAGTTATTCTACCGATTGGTTTAAATATTCGATAAAAAACAGAAAAATGATACAGCTAATAATGATGAGGTCCATTAGACCTTCCTGTATTAAAATTGGGCCCAGCAAATATTTAAATTATGCAACAAGTCGTCAGGTAGCTAAAGATATTAAAATCAACTAATATTTCAACAATAACGTATTAATTTCAATACTTTTTATTTTAGATTATACAATTATCTTTGTCCTACTTTGTTTCGTTGTTATCTATCTATGATCCTTAAATCGTACTGTTTAAAATGTAAATTGTTGAAATGTGAAATGTTGAATAAAGATAGTTTAGCACTCAATAATATTTTGAAACATTTGCAAAAATTGTTATCATTTTTCATACCCAAGCTGAATTCGACTGCCAAACAAGCAGCAAGAAATATATATATGGGTAAGGCTCAGAATTTTTTAAATAAACCTGCGCTCGTATGTCACCGATCTTGACGCGCTTTTGGTATGTTATAGTACATGGTAAAAAAGACCCAAAACCAAAATTTTAGACCCCCTCCCCCCTCCTACCCCCCACTTCCGGTATAAACGTCCATTTTCTATCTATATTTTTTCTGAAGGCCTGAAGCAATTAAAAAATCTGAAAAAATTCACAAAAATACTTTTCAACAATCCAAACAACCTTGAATTTTTTCAGATTTTTTGAGTGCTTCAGGCCTTCAGAAAAAATTATTGAAAATTTTGAAAATTCATATACGGCGCTACGATGCAATACAAAGCCCGATCTTTTTTTCCACTTATTTTTGACATCAAAATACATAACCTCAAATTTTTTCAGATTTTTTCAGACAGAGCGCTGGCGGTTTTTAGCCGAAAAACGCCCTTTTTTTACGAAAATAATTTTTTTAGGGCGATATGAAGCTTTAAAAAATCTGGAAAAATTTTTTTCTTGTTTTTCAGGTCAAAATACATAACCTTGAATTTTTTCAAATTTTTTAATTGAAGGCGATAGCATCTATGGCTAAAAAACGCTATTTTTATGAAAAACGGTTCCTGGAACCCAGAGGTTCCGGTAAAAAAATTTGAAAAAATTTTTTTCGAATTCCTTGTCAAATTTTAATAAATTTTGACCGTCGCAAAATTTCGATTGGAGCTTCCTAGCTCATTCTAGAGCATAACAAAGATTCGAGCGAAATTCTGAAGACGTTCATCACAATTACATTATTTTTCAAATTTCTTCAGAATTTCGCTCGAATCTTTGTTATGCTCTAGAATGAGCTAGGAAGCTCCAATCGAAATTTTGCGACGGTCAAAATTTATTAAAATTTGACAAGGAATTTGAAAAAAATTTTTTCAAATTTTTTTACCGGAACCTCTGGGTTCCAGGAACCATTTTTCATAAAAATAGCGTTTTTTAGCCATAGGTGCTATCGCCTTCAATTAAAAAATTTGAAAAAATTCAAGGTTATGTATTTTGACCTGAAAAACGAGAAAAAAATTTTTCCAGATTTTTTAAAGCTTCATATCGCCCTAAAAAAATTATTTTCATTAAAAAAGGGCGTTTTTCGGCTCAAAACCGCCAGCGCTCTGCCTGAAAAAATCTGAAAAAATTTGAGGTTATGTATTTTGATGTCAAAAATAAGTGGAAAAAAAGATCGGGCTTTGTATTGCATCGTAGCGCCGTATATGAATTTTCAAAATTTTCAATAATTTTTTCTGAAGGCCTGAAGCACTCAAAAAATTTGAAAAAATTCAAGGTTGTTTGGATTGTTGAAAAGTATTTTTGTGAATTTTTTCAGATTTTTTAATTGCTTCAGGCCTTCAGAAAAAATATAGATAGAAAATGGACGTTTATACCGGAAGTGGGGGGTAGGAGGGGGGAGGGGGTCTAAAATTTTGGTTTTGGGTCTTTTTTACCATGTACTATAACATACCAAAAGCGCGTCAAGATCGGTGACATACGAGCGCAGGTTTATTTAAAAAATTCTGAGCCTTACCCATATATATATAGCGAAAAATGTCGGTAATACAGGGTACAATTTCAGTTAGTCTCCTTCAATAAGATAATGCATCAAACCGCAAGAAACTTGGTTTATTTCGACAATTCAGCACAATTTTTAATAATGATTAGCATTTGGCATTAATCAGAACGTTTGAAACACTAAACGACAGTTCTTTTCACTAGCACCCAAGTTCAGCAATCTGCTGTTAGATGGAGCATAACTATTACGATGGTGTCTCAGTCAGCTTTTGACAATTGAAAAAAAATTTAAAATTATACGCGAACAAAATAATTGATACAATGATTGGAATAATTATTCGAGGTAGACTTCTGCACGAACTTTTTATTCCCGCATTCATCGCTGCCACTCTCTAATATTCGCGCGCGTACGCATCCGTAAACCGTAGAAAACGCGTTTATCACTCGGCTTTGGGAGCTTTATCACGCGCGCGCGCGAGCGAGAAGGGGCGCAATATTTCATCGGCGCGCAACTCGCATCCAATTACGTATTCCAAAAATATAATAATACGCGTATGCACTCGCTGCGACGGCGGCGTCGGCAATGCCAAAAATCGGGGGTACAGCCGCACGAAAAGTATTATAAGTAAAAATAAAACAAGAAGAAAAAGAAGAGAAGAAATCAAAAGAAAGAAAAAAA